TGATGAGTCCCTCATTAGTTTTTCTGGTCGCCTTGCATGCAAACAATTTCTCCTCAGCAAGCGTGCCAGATATGGGGTCAAAATGTATAAGGCCTGTAAGAGGGCAACAGGCTATACATGTAATTTTTGGATTTAAGAGGGAAAAGATAGTCACATCTAGCTCCCTGGACACCCAAACTACATGAGGAGCAGTGGACAATTTTATTCAAGCATACCACTATTAAGACATTTATACAATCTTGGAATTGGTGCATGTGGCACCGTGCACCCTAATCGCTGGGGCTTCCACGAACAGCTTGTAAATCCTGACAGCTGGTGTTCTTGAGAAGCCCCTCTGTGTCCACGACTATAACCTTAACATGGGAGGGGTGGACTTCAACAACCAGATGATGAAGCTGTACTTAATTTCCCGAAAAGCCAGATGCTGGTACAAAAAAGTGTCTTTATTTATTTAAATTGGCTCTATATATAATTCTCTTGTGCTTTACAAAGCAACTGGACAATGTGGATCTTTCCTAGTAAAAGATCATCACAATCTTTTTGTATCAAGAAGGTGCTGTGGCCCAAAACCCCAAACCAGATGCAGTTAGCCAGCTGCATGAGAGGCATTTTCCTGGTATCCCAACCCAAAAGACACCCAAAAAAAGATGTTGTGTCTTTAGCAGACATGGAATTAGACATGAAACCTGCTTTTTTTTTTCCCTCCTGTGCTGGCCAACCTGATCTCTGCCTCAAGGACTGCTTCCGTCGCTACCATACACTAGTGGACTATTAATATAGGGAACAGCATGGCACAGTCTAGGGCACATATATGCATAGGGTCTTGAAAGATGCTAGGTAGTCAGGAAACTGGCTATCGCATTTTGAGCGACCCTACCATATGGTCTTTGGTCATCTGCCATCGTGTCTCTCTCCAAGTTAAAAAAAAAAAATAGTTGTTTTATTGTTGTCAAGTTACTGTTTTATTTTACATCTGCAGTTAAAAAAGAACATATATGCCCCAGCATGGTGGCCTGGGGTGGCCAGTGGGTGGATCACTCCTATGCTTTGGCATATATATATTTAATAATACTTTTTGGCACATAATTTCTATAAAAAAGTTGTTTTATTGAGTTACTGTTTTATTGTTAACCATTGCTATTTTCTTTGCAGGAATGCCATTCAGCTGCAGCACTGATCTGTTTATTCTGACAGTAACAGGGTCTTTCTCTCAGAATATATGTCAGTGTATGCAGCGCTGTTGGGTGAGATGTTTCATCCGCAGTTAAAAAAGAGCATATATGCCCAAGTATGGGGGCCTGGGGTGGCCAGTGGGTGGATAGTCCCTATGCTTTGGCATATATTTTTAAAATATTTTTTTGGCAGACATTTCTTCATCCACATCGATCAATGTGAATAGAAGAATCTGTTAGGTTCTTTTTTTTTTCGTTCGGCCCAGGATGTCAAGCAGAGGCGCAGAGTTTGTACAGGTAGTGGTGGTGTCTCACTCAGAGTTATGATCAGGGCTGCTGATAAGGTGGTACCTCCGGGCCCCCTGTAGGGGGCCTAGGCCCTGTAACTTTGACAGAGAGGCTCAGCAAGCTGGCAGATTCAGGTTTCTGCATGCTTAGTATAGCAGCCAATAGAGCTGCTTATCTAAGTATGGGGGAGGGACAAGACAAATACACTGCACTGGCTGCAGCGACAGTTGCTCCTCCTCCCATTCATCCTTAGCCAATCAGCAAGCACTGTAATGCCCCCTCCCACCTTCTCCAGCCCGCCACATTTGACTGTTTATGGAAGATGCTGGTAGCTGGAGCAGGGCTGAAAGGGGCGCCAGGAGGGGAGACACAAACCTGAAGCCCAAAAGCTACAAGAGGAAAGTACGACCATCCAATGCCACATTGTTTACTGACCGTCCACTGCTTACTGAACATCCACTGCATACTGACTGTCCACTGCTTATTGAACGTCCACTGCATACTGACTGTCCACTGCTTATTGAACGTCCACTGCTTTCTGAGTGTCCACTGCTTACTGACCGTCCACTGCTTACTGACATGGTCCACTGCCCTACTGACACCCTCCACTGCCCTACTGACACTGTCAAGTGTGCTCCACTCAGTGGTGTATTTTGTTTTTGTGCTGCCCTGGACTCTCTGTTCTCACTGAAGATCGGTCCTGGCGCTGGTCCTGGTCACCTGATACGCGAGTCTCTTCCCCCAGGGGGCAACGCTGCCCCCTGAAAAATGCCGCCCAAGGGAATTGCCTTGTTTGCCTCTCATGGTAAATATGCCCCTGTTTCAATGACAACCATAGCATTTTGGATTTCCCATCATTTCCTGCCCTGGTGCAGTGACAATGATCATCAGAACAAATAGAGAGGGTAAATCTCCACAGCAATGAGACCGAAAACAATATAAAAAAACACAGGCAAAGGTTCTAATGCTCTATCCAAACCTAAAAAAAAAGTTTTGGCTTTAGATTCTCAATATTTTTTCAGTCTCTCCACACTTTAAGAATAAAAAATCTCAATGCACCCTAATCTAAAATGCAAAAAACATCAATGTTACTTATCCATGGAAAACTTGAGCTTAGGACAATGCTGCAAGCCCCCTTTCATCAGAGGTTCTCACATTACATGAAAAGTCCCTCCATCACATCAGAACGTTCCAATCACCACAGAGCCCTCCCATTACATCAGAAGTCCCCAACACAGAGTCCCTCCAGTCACACAGCCCCCCCATCATACAGTCCCCTTTTTACATTGGAGTCCAACCTTTTGGTTCCAGCAACATGGTAGAGGGCTGAGAGTGGAGGAGGTCTGGAGGAAGCAGCCGCTCCATCTCTAGATGGCGATGAAGGCAGAGGAGTTTCAGAGAGGCCAGAAGAGGGAGGACTTATGGCACAAGATGTAAATAAACAATGAAGCTCATGGGAGTCAGATCTCAGTAGTAATACATCTATGGAGGAGGAGAGTGGAATTGGATCATTAAGGGCAAAATAATAACTAGGTGGAAAAACTCTGTGGTGCCCCCCTTCCCTTGTTGACATAAGCATATGCTTATTTTGCTTAAGGCCTTATTCACCCAGGTTCAGTAATCAGTATATCTGTACAGACGGCTGCATACAGCCAGCTAGTTCAAATCAATGACAGGCAGGTTAGGGGTTAATGCATGGCTGTGGGGCCGATGCATGGCTTCGAACGCAGTGTGGGTAATCCAGCCCTGCACGCAACTGATGCTTGAGCGTATGCTTGAAGACAGGGAAGGGCTGCAAAGAGCCTAGAGAAAATTCTAAACACTTGCACACAGCAAAGTAGGGTTTCACCGTTACTGGTGCTGATACTAAGCATTTGCATGAGTACTTGTACTCGTAAAAACACTCCAATACCTAAAACCGATACCTTTTTCATGCTGTGCAGTGCGATTTGAGCCCATACAAAATGAATCGGCTGAAATCGTACTGCAAAGAATCGCATGTGATTTGAACAGGAATGCAGTGTGATTCTTGTTTGAATCACATGCGCTTCCGCTCCTGTGTGAACCCAGGCTTGTCATAGTGACTTCGGCCTGGGTTCACACAAGAGCGGTGTGGGAAACTGCATGTGATTCGGACAGGAATTACAATGCTTTCCTGTTCAAATCACATGCATTTTTTGTAGTGTGATTTGAGCCCAATTTTTTTTGTATGGGCTCAAATCTTAATATACAGCATGAAAAATAGTAATTGGTATCTGCGAATACATGATTAAAAGTATCAGAGCATGGCAATTGTTTATGTTCTCTCGTTCTGAGAGGACGTCATATGATGTCCTCCCATTTTCACCGCGCATGCGTAGCTCAGGGAGTGCGCAGCGCGGCGATCGGCGGTGCGCTGTGTCCCTCGGACACAGCAGATCACCGATCACGGAAAGAGCCGAAGATGTCGGCTCCGTCATGTGATCAGCTGTGTCCAATCACAGCTGATCACATGTAAACATGGAAATGCCAGTTATCGGCATTTCTCTCCTCTCGAGCTGACAACTCGAGAGGGAGAGCCAGTAATCGGTTTTGCAGAGGGGACATGTACACTGATCATCAGGGCACTGATGATCAGTGTGCCCTGATGATCAGTGTAGCCCCAGCAGTGCCACATGTCAAAGTCCATCAGTGCCAGCTGTCAGTGCCGATCAGTGCCACGTGCCAGTGCCTATCAGTGCCACATCAATGCCGCATACCAGTGCACATCAATGGCACATATCAGTGCCCATCTGAGCTGCCTTTTTAGTGTCATCCATCAGTGCCAGTCAGTGCCACCTATCAGTGTCAGTCAGAGCCACCTATCAGTGTCAGTCAGTGCCACTTATCAGTGCCAGTCAGTGCCCGCCTATCAGTGCCAGTCAGTGCCGCCTATCAGTGCCGCCTATCAGTGCCATATATCAGTGCCATGTATCAGTGCTGCCTTTCAGTGCCCATCAGTGATGCCTGTCAATGCCCATCAGTGCCACCTACCAGTACCTCCTCATCAATGCCCATCAGTGCCACCTATCAGTGTCCATCAGTGCAGCCTATCAGTGCCCATCACTGCAGCCTCATTAGCGCACATCAGTAAAGGAGAGAAATCACTTATTTACAAAATTTTATATCAATAACGAAGAAAAAAAATTTTTTTTTCAAAATTTTCAGTGGTTTTTGGTTTGTTTAAGAAAAAATAAAAAACCCAGAGGTGATTAAATACCACCAAAAGAAAGCTCTATCTGTCACAAAAAAATGCTACAAATTTCATATGGGTACAGTGTTGCATGATCGCGCAATTGTCATTCAAAGTGCGACAGCGCTGAATGCTGGAAATTTGGCCTGGGCTGGAAGGGAGTATAAGTGCCCTGTAGGCTAGTGGTTAAATGTCATCCATTTCGGATATACAGTAAATCTTCTTTAAATGCAAATCTTGAAATATGGAAATTAATGTTACTATTATATCTATATACTTTCCTGTCCTAATTGTTTTATTAACTTTAAATCTTTTCTTTTCATTGTCAGGTTATCATAAGTAATCAGGAGCAGTGGGAGGAGACTCTTTCTTCCAAAGGACTCCTAGGTAAACCACAATGAATGTAATTAAAATCACATATTTAACCCTTTTTGCTGCCAGACCCATTTTTGAATTTTTTGCACCCATGTTAAAATGCACGTTTTGGACCTGAAAATTAGTTAACATCCCAAAACATTTTTATACTGTATTTTCTGAAAGCAGAGACCCCGGAGAACACAATGATGGTAGTTTCATTTTTTCCCTATAATTTTTTATTATAATTTTATTTTCCATTTAATCAATAGTACAATATCATGAAATATCCACAACTTAAATCTTAATTGATATATTATAATACTTAACCTTTTAAAAGAAATAGAACAAAACATACTAATTAGCATACACTAAATATAAAAGTTCCAAAAATTATAATTACGTACATACATTTACTAAGAAGTGTAACCAATAATTGTTATCCACATCAGAGAGCAACCCTTAATATTCCCTATAACTCTATAGTGTCTACTTGTCTCTATCCAAAGTGCTAAGTGTCATTTCTCTCTGCTGCCCTGTTCCTCTGCTATCTGCAGGAGTCACTTCTGACTCATGAAGTTTTTCCTGACACCAAGAGAAAAAATGTGACAGGGGAGGGAGCTCCTGCACACAAACAGTGATTGACAGCCTCAGCTCTGTTCCTGTGAGCTGTGTGGAGAGGCGGGTGTCTCTTCTCTCCAATCAACTCTCAGAGCTCTCCTCACTGAGCTCTGCAGTGTGTAACTTCAGCTCTCTGCCCCCTTTTTTCTGAACTCTCAGACAAGCTGTATAAATTCTGGACTTTGAACAGATGTAGAGAAAAGAAGACTGGATAGACAGGTACAACTTATGTAGGAGGATTTGTTTCACCTCTGTGTATCACCCGAGGCTTGCCACTTTGCTGGGTATATGTAAGGGTTTACAACCTCTTTAGGTTTAAGATTATCCAAACTACTAAGATTATCAACTTTGATATACTGTTCTGTATATTTAAATATTATCATAAATTGCTGTATCTCCACTAGAGTACAGTCTACAAACTGTTTCCACCTCTTAAACAAATTGTTAACTTTGTCCTGCTTTGAGATTTCTATGGTTAGTTTTTCAATATATAGTATCTTTTTCATATCTATTATTAATTCTGCCAACATAGGAGAGACACTAGTAATCTAGTGTTTCATCATGGCCCTCCGAGCTGTTATTAAAGATATAGTGTATTAATCCACTGCAAATCTGACTATTTATAGTGCTCATTGCTTCAACCTGGTCACAACTGAACAGTAACATCACAGTGTCTTTGTGACCCTTTACTATTTTTTATGTCACCCAGTTGCAGTTTTTATGTCGCGTGATATCTGCGCAACGATTTATCAAACCTATATTTTCAGTAAGAAAAACACTAATCTACGTTTTGGAGGTTTCACATACCTGGTGGAGGAGCCAGAAGAGATGACGATGCCCTCTCTTACACCTTCGGCTCAGAAACCCCTGGTAAAGCAAATGGGGAGTACAAGGGCAGGGAATGGAAAGATTGCCTTGACGTTCTTGGCAGCAGCTGGTACAGGTGGATAGACATATCTGAACTGGTCTGCACTGAGTAGTTCAACCTGAGGACATGATAGACAGGAGACTGGACACAAGGATACCAACCTGGAATTCGGCAGCAGCAGGTGACAACCACAGGAACAGTGGATATATGTAGGCTGCCACATAAGCTGTGACCTTGAGCTTGTGTGTAGGCAGGAGTGTTGTCTGAGAGACTGCAGGCTGGAGGTGACTGTGGCACAGAAATTCAGGACTGGTGCAAAGTCGGACATTCCAGTGCAGCCACTGGCAATCAGATCAAGTACAATAGGAAGTGTAGTCAGGGTTTAGACTGGAGTCAGCAACATATGAGCAGGTCGGGAAAAGATGGAGCAGGCAGAAACATAGTCCAAATGCAAGCCGGGGTCAGTACAGGTAAATATCAGGAGTAGGTCAAAGCAAGCTGGTTTGTTAATGGGTAGTCACGTACACCATCACAGATTTCAGAGGAATGTTGTAGACAAGACTGGGCTGTGTGCAGCTGATCAGTCTAAATAGCAGGTTTGCCACTTGCATTAGTGACAGATGTGCGCACATTCTTGCGCACCCTTACCTATGAATGCATATGTGTAGCTATGAGCCGCCTGTGCACAGATATTCATCCAGATGTGCAGCGCTATATACTGGCATGACCTTCCTGACAGGTGCACACATATCTCAATATATTATACCATTTTTTAGTAAAAACATAATGATAAGCTGGCAAGTATGGTGTGTGTGGGGGGTGGGGGATTGTCACCTTGCACTTTGCAGCATATTTGGAAGTGATATAAAGCCTCCTGAATCATCTCCATTAGAAAGCTGACAGTCAGCTTGGCACATGTAAATAGACTCAGTCAGTTTACAGGGCTATGCTGCCACAGGTGTAGTACTTACATCCATGGCAGCGAAAGAGTTAAAGGCAACCTGTCAGAATAGAAATATGGGATCTGACATTTCTGACATGTAGATGTAGGGTTCGGATCTGTCATTTGACCCTTGCATCACCAGTTATCAAGCCAATGACCAAGAAGAACATATGGACATATCAACCAATGTATGCACATCCTACTCCATTCTTCATGACGCTGATGCTGGAAGCCTAATGTGATCTGTGGTGGACTGCTTTGTGTATAATTCTTTTATGACTTCCAGGGAATGTATCTAAAGCAGATTTTGCTTTATAAAACTAACTGAACTCTTATAAAACTGGGGTAGGGAACCCAATTACCGGTATATCTTCTGTTGGGAAGATTTGTAAAAGCAAGGTGAATTCTGCTATTCTATGTATGTATGACTATTATATAATTAGAACAAGTTGGCTTCACAAATTTTTACAACCTCAACCATGTTTTTGGACAATCAACATCAGCCTAGTCACAATCCATGGTGAATGATTAAGGAGACTACCAGTGTGGCTATAAATATTGAGAAATGTTCCAGACACACATTTGAGCAGAGGCAACTACTTGGCTGGGTGGCCAAATGTCTCCAACATTAGAAGACAAGTCCAGTGGAATATGGCTAACCACTGCTAGCTGTACAATGACCTAGAAGTATGTTTATATAAACACACAACTTGTTATATAGGGATAAAATGGGGTATTAAACTCAAAAGCAAACTTTTTTATATTGCAGCTTACCAATTCTTAGACATGATGGCTCTATTAGTTTTCTATTTTTAGGCTCTCTTTCTTTTATTTTCATCTGGTGATCCAGCCAGTAAGTCTGTTGTTTTTTAAAAAAACAATATCTTTTCCAGATGTATCAGTTTACAAAGATGAGACAACCCATTTAACACTGGTCAGCTTTTATTTATTCATATAAAACCTTTATCCAAAAAGGAAAAAAACTGTTTGCTGTAACTTATAAAGTGTGATGTGGAGTTTGGCTTCAATTTGTCGGTGTATTTAAATCTGTTAGTGCATCTAACTCTCCCCCCTCCCCCCAGACTGCCATTGTAGCTGTCTGCGGTGCTCCCTGTGCTCATTCATTCACTCTAATACAGGATGTGTGTTACTGGTTAGATAACCAGGTAAAAACAGAGGAAAAAAAAGCCTAAAAAAAGAAAATGAATGTAGGCACCACATCCTAATTATACTGCAATATAATACATTTTTTGGTTTTGGGTTGAATACCACTTTAATCATAGACAGTTAGTTACTATCCATTACACTGGACTTTAAAGTAAAATATTTTCTGTCATATTCTTATTTATCCCAAGCACATCACATAATGTACAGTTTTTGTGCATTGACATCTATAGAGCAGAAGAAAAATGCAATTAAGCACACACATTTTATGTTTTATGTCACAATTTTAGGATTTGCAAGCTTCTGTCATGTACCTGGCTGTGAAACTTGAGATGACAAGGGCAGCCTCTTGCATGATTCCCAGTCAAGCACCCCTGGAAGTGTAGGCAGGGACTGCTAGGGCAATGGAAGGACACAGGTGCCAGGTAGCTGGACCAGTGACCTTGGGCTTGGAAGCATTGTTGTCAGATAAGCTGAACAGTTGAGTCAGGTCACCAGCAGAGTACAATGACATCCAGGCAGATAGACACCAAATCATGAACAGAGTCCAGGTCAGAGAATGGCAAGGATCACCAGCGTGCTAGCTGTGAAGATCAAAATGAGAAGGCATAAACTTGGTCAAAAGTCCAGCCCGAGGCTGGTAACACATATGAGCAGCAGATATAAATAGGCAAGGGTAATACAGAGAAGAGTCCGAAATAGTTGGGTCAAGAATTGAGTCAAGCAGACTTCAGGAGCACAGATCATAAGGTGAAAGACCATCCAGTGATGATATACAAGCGTCAAATTGAAGTAGTTCATCAAGTGCCAGGATCTGTGGCGGACATGCCTGTGCATCCACGTGCACATTTGTCAATCTTTGCGTGCTTCGAGAAGCTCCTATGCTTGGGAATATGTGCACACCTGTGCGCACATGCATGGAAATGAGCATGAATGGCATGAGGTTCCTTCCAGTACCTTTTTCCACTTTCTGGGGCAGAGTATTAAATTAAAAATGCCAAACTAGCATCTTGTTTAGCATTTGATGGATGGTATCTCAGTAACATATTTTAATTTCGGATTGTGCCCTGACAAATGATATGCTGATTCTCCATTCATCTGCTTCTTTTCTTAGTGGTGGACGTGTATCAGGCCTGGTGTGGTCCTTGCAAGACAGCTGTCAGCTTATTCCGAAAAATTAAGAATGAACTGGGTGATGATCTCTTGCAGTTTGCTGTGGTAAGAAATACTTAACAGATGTAAAAACAATTCAACATCTGAAAATACAACATTTAAAGTATAACTATCAGGATTTTTTATTTATTTTTTTTTTTTAGTTTTGGATAGAGTGGAGATAGATTAGAACACCTGTCAGTTTTTATTACTGTCTGTCTGCCTCTGTTAGGGAGATCCCCACTTTCTATTTGTCCTGTTTACTGTTAATATCAAAAGTGAAAGTAAAACAAAATCCCTAATTGTGGGTTGTCCCCAGAACAGTAATACAGGGGAAATTTTCCAATTGGGAAACTGGTTCTGGTGATCTTGGTAACAACCAGAGATTGCCTCACTTTGGATACAAAAATAGAAAATTTGGTAAAATGTCCCACCATTTATACTGTTTTTGGCAACATCCCAAATATGGAAACCAAGAGCAAGTATAGAAATATCTCCCTGGGACTTTATAAGGCAAAACAACAGTAAGTGTACAAAAGTATAAAACAGTAAATGTTATTACAAAAAAATTGTTTTGATAAAAAGAATCGAAAGATCCAGTAGAGTTGGAATGCAATACAATAGTTCAAAAAGACTTGAACAATGATGTTCTGAAACGCATTGGATTTGTCTGGATAATATCATTGTTCAAGTCTTTTTGGGTTGTTAACCCACTTGTCAGTTGATGTATTACAGACTGTCAGCTCCTATGCACACTGTACAGTATATGTCTTTGAATGTGAGTTATGAACCATTGTATTGCAGTCCAACTCTACTGAATCTTTTGATTCTTTTTATCGAAACAATTTTTTTGTAATAACATTTACTGTTTTATACTTTTGTACACTTACTGTTGTTTTGCCTTATAAAGTCTCAGGGGGATATTTCTATACCTGCTCTTGTTTTCTTCACTTTGTAGGGATTTCAGCATACTTCCAGTTTAGGCTATGGGGCAGGAAGTGAAGGGAGATCCCCCAATGGGACACAGATGGCAAAAAACCTGACACAGGTATAACCTTCTCCATACTAGGTTGCATATACAGTATTTGCTGCATGTTCTGAAAGCATACCGAAAGTTCTGCATGTTTGGTGCACCTTCAGAAAACCCTGCAAAGATATGCAACCTAATAGAAGTCTATGAGACTGTGGCTACAACTCGAGGTAACATGCAGGAAAACTGCGAGTACACCACCATTGCAGCCATACCACAGCGCACCAATGTGAACCCAAAGGGTTGTTTACACTTGCAGCAGGCACTGTCACTCCACTGAAAAGTGATCCATGCTCAAGTCACTTTTCAGAGGCATTTGACAGGCAGTGAGGAGTTTATATCACATTTCCTCACTGCCTGTTTTAACCTCCTAAATGCCAATCCCTCAAGATAATTGTATGGTTTACTTCCAACTCCACCTAATTTCCATAACTTTCCTTAGGTATTAAATGTGAAGAAAAAAAGGTGAGAGCACAAAGAGCAACTAAAATAAGATGGAGTTCAAAGTAAATTTCCACATCTACATGGAGCACTTACTACAGAACATCTACGCTACTACCCATCTATTCTATCTGCCCTGCAGGGCACCGTGGCAGGCTAGACAGGAAAGAGCCCAATGGGGGAAGGGGGGGGGGGTGACATGTTTTACTGTACCAACCCTAGTGACACCACTGGTTATGATTGGTTGTGATAGCCCCGTTGGCCTTTAGCACTCACCCCATCTCTTACATAAACAAACAATGTTTCAGAGGTCAGTAGTAAGTGATGCAGAGATCAGGGGTCAGTAGTAAGTTTTGTAGAGATCAGGTGGCGGTATTAAATTAGTCACCTACATCTACTACTTTTTTCTCCAGGCCATTTTGCTGCTTGGTTTTAGGTTATATGGATGGATAAATCTTGCTACTGGGGTACCTACAGATGCTTCTGAAATGCCAGAAGTGTAGCTGCACTTGCAAATGGTTGATCTCCGATGAAGGTCACTGAGATAATAGAGTTTATTTAATAAGGACAAAAATACTGTGTACTTTGCAAGTGCAGTTGCACTCCCCAGGGCTCACCAGAGCATACTGAATGTGGTAAAGCTTCAATTTGTAAGGAACACCCAAAATAGCACTTTTGCTTTGCACATGATTGGATGATGGAAATCAGCAGAGCTCCACTATATTAACTAAGTTCTGGGGGACCCTGAGAAGTGCAAGAGAAAAGCCTGCCATTTTCCAAATGTAGCTAGACAAAGAGGACATGGCCTGTTACCAGGAATGATTAATTTGCAGCACATGAAAACCAATGTGTCATGCATTTTCATGCATTCCAATAGACTTCTATGGGCCCCACGACGCACATCAATGGATGAAAAAATGTACCTGAACTTTTTCCACGATGCACAGCAAAGCATAAATGGGAACCAGAACCATTAAAAACAGTGGGATGCAAAATATTATGTCTTTTGACGCATGGGTGGGAATAGGGCCTTGATCAGTGGTGCTTTTAAAGAAGTGTTTATACAGATTTTGCCTTGTTTGATTTAAGTTTCCTAACCTTATATTTTCTGTTGCAGGCTGAAGCTGATAGCATTGATGTACTTGAGAAATACAGAGGCAAATGCGAACCAACGTTTCTTTTCTTTGCTGTAAGTTATATTTAGGGTGACGGGAAGAACAGAAATACCTAAACACCATGCTACTTTCTAATTGAGGGATAATTATAACAATACTAGTTTATATTCAAGAATATGGCTCCTTGTTACAGCTCAGTATATATAATTCTATCCACATCCTTGAAAATCATAATTATGATAATAAATATCTGGACTAGACATGAGTACAGAAAAATTAAAGGTGCAACTGGCCATTAGTTATTGAGACGCATAAAAAAAACATAAAAATAATTCTTCTTTAATTACCAGTTGTTTTTGAGTCCTGAATTTATAACTACATAGAATAAAGTGACATTTATGTTTACTTTATATCCCCTTTTGCTTTATTTTTTATATGATGTGTAAGGCTGGCCATACATTATATTATACAATTATCTTCCAATTTTCTGCCCAATTTCCTTTAGATTTTCCTTCAACTGTGTAGTGCAAGGGCCTGCCTAATTGGATACAACTGAAAGTGTTGTTTAGGTTTGTCCTCCTATTATATGGTTTTTGGTAAATCTAAACCAAAAATCTCCAGATAATTGTATAATGCATGGCCAGCCTAAGTCTTCAGTAGGTATCCGCACTGATATGGCTGGGTGACTGCTCAGATTTTTCTCCAAGGCACTGTAGTTTCTTATTTTACTACTTTGCTACTTTGGGGTCTTCTAAGCTACATTTGTTTTGCCAAACCAATGCTAGACCTCTAGGTGGCAGTGATTACCATGGATTATGCCCACAAAAAGCAATGTGTTCAGGATTAAGAGTAACTGCTCAAAGAAATAGGTCAGGAAAGCATAAGATCATTTTTATTTTTGTAGTCTAATCATTATCATTGAAAAAAATCTCTGTGATTTTGTGTCTTATTTAGTTTTCTAAATAATGACTGCTTTTTTTTCTTGTATTATATCTTGCAAGGGAGGGGAACTTGTTGCTGTGGTGAGAGGAGCCAATGCTCCATTACTACAGAAAACTATTATAGACCAACTTGAAGCAGAAAAGAAAGTTTTGAACCAAGGCCTAGATCGCAAAGTGGTAAGAAACAGTTTTTGCATACTTACAGTTATGTAGATGTATGACAATGTTCCAGACATTATACCCAAACATTTCCTCCGTATCAATATAATTCTAATTTCTGTTATGAGTTTTTATTCTCTCCATTATCATGGAGCTACATGAGCATACCTCCCAACAGTCCCGGATTGGGCAGGACTTTCCTGCTTTTTCACCTTTGTCTCGCAGTCCCAGTGTACAGGGGCTTTGTCCCGAATTACTCTATTTTTTTATATCTAACTTCCAGCAGAGCAAGACCTGCAGCAGTGTGAACATCTAACACAGCCGGGGATTGGCAGGCAAACCAGCAGTGCTTGCAGCCGCAATTGGAGAGAGCATGCAGCTGTCAACTCCAACCTGTGATGTTGGGGATGGGCGGGGCTGATATGCGTTTCAGGGGCTACGCGCTCTTTGTAAAGCAAGCACTGCATAAACAACAGCTGGCATTTATACATTGCTGGCCAGCGAAGACGGTGACAAGGGGCAGGACCAATTGGAACTACTTCATGTGTACCCGCAGCGGTGTATAATAAACCTTAATTAAACACTGCTGTGGAACATTCAGTAGTCCAATTGGTCATGCCCTTTGCCACCTTTTTCCCAATTGGCACTGTACAAATGCCCTTGAAACGCATATCGGCCCCCGCCCATCCCCGACATCACAGGTTTGACTTGACAGCTGCACTCTCTCATTGCAGCCGTACCCCCACCGGCTTGTTTGCCAATCCCTGGTTGTGTTAGATGTTCACACTGCTGCAGGTCCTGCTCTGCTGCACTCATTTGTTATCCATCTGATGCCTGCATTCTTGCCTTGGCTCCTATATGCTGTTAATCATGATTTTAGAATGTAAGTGTATGTTTAATTGGTGTCTTTGTGGTTTAACTAACTTCTGAACCTTGCACTTTGTACGTAACACATCCCTAAATCCTGCACTCTATATGAAACGCACACCTGAACCTTGCACTATGTGCATAATGCATTCCTGAATCCTGCACTCTGTATGAAACGCACACCTGAACCTTGCACTCTGCATAATCCATTCTTGAATCCTTCCATACTTTGTGTAACACACTCTTCCACAGTTTGCGCAAAACCATTTGTAATAGAAGCTTTTGTTTCTTTTTTTTCAATGATTGTGCTGGGGTTTGTGTCCGTGAGACTCCTGCTTGTGGCATAGCAATCAAAGCATATTTTATAAGTACAAGGAAGCCCAGGGTTTGTTTAACCACGCCCCTCAGGCCTCTCCCATTGTTAAGCATTTGGACACACCCATTTTGCCACTGTGCGCTACGTACGTCGCAGGTCACTTGCTCCCTCAAGTGGTCCTCATTCTGAAGTTCAAAGGTTGGGAGGTATGCATGAGCACTAATACCACTTGAAAGTGATTGTAAAAAAAAAAGGTCTAAAACTCTCCTAATTTTTACTGTCTGGTTCGCAGACATGTAGGTTTAATCTCCTAGATTGTAAGCTCCAAGGAGCAGGCCCTCAAATCCCTATTGTATTGAACTGTATTGTTACTGTATTGTCTCCCGTTATATTGTACAGCACTGAGCAAACTGTTGGCGCTATATAAATCCTGTATAATAATAATAATAATAATTGTAACAGAAAGTTAAAGATCTTCAATTCCATCATCACCCTATTTCCAAATAAGAGAAATAGTTTCTTTGAGAAATTACCTGCACTGCTTGGAAAATATAAAATAATTTTCTAGTACCAAGTAACTAATGCTGTTAATGTTCAAAAAAACCCTCCAGATCCCCTGCATGCTCTGGCTCCATATTTAACGCTACGAATACGTTAACAATGTAACTCTTAGTATTTCCCCCCAAACCCTAAAATTTAACCTAACCCCTAATTCTTGATCATCCCCTAACACGTAACCCATTACTTAATTTTGACACAGCCTTATTTCCTAACTGTGCCTTCAACATTTAACTTTGACTCTCAGTCTGATCCCATCATCTAACCCCTAAATCCAAACATTAATGCCCAAACCTAACAACCTAACATATAATCTAATCTCTAATACTACCCTGAAAACCCAGATTTATCCTAATGGAATCAAATATTTTCAGGCTAATATGGGAAGCTACCAGCGCCTAAACAGATTGTTCCATGTAAAGTGGGTTTCATATCTGTGCTATCTATTACAAAGGAGAACTTATTTTCAATAATTAAATTCAAAGATTGCTCAGAAGTGATAAACCACACACACAATGACACATTAGGATTGAATTAATAAAGGTAAATCTGCAGTTCTCTTTGCAAGGGAAGCTGCACTTTGCAAGGGAATTTTCCTGAGAACGTGACTGAGGTGAAGCGCTGCTGATTTCCATCATCCAATCATGTGTTAGCAAAAATGCTGTTTTTTTTCACTATCTTGCATGTGATTGGGCACTCTTTTCAAAGTGAAAATTCACTGCATTCACTAAGCTCTGGGGAAAATTTCCTTGCACTGTGCAACTCTCCTTATAAAGTGAACAGTCTTTTGCCTTTAATAAATCAACCCTATTATGTACTACTGCATCTAGCTCATAAGCACTGGCTTTTAAATATCATAATAAATGGATAATACTTTTTTGTTCCTTCATTGTTACTTTGCTCTATGCTCTTTGTTATACAGTATCTCAATCTATAAGTATTAGAGTTCAGAACACAGGTTACTGAATGCAAACATTGTGGCAGATTCGACTAGGAGTTGCAATAATTGGGCCATGTAAAGGTTTACAGTAAGTTATTAAAGTGCCCCTCAGAGTGTCAGACATGGTCATTATCCTACACGGAAATGTCCTAATAGGTTGAAAACTGTTTGCATGGTCATTGATGATTAAAAGGATTATTATGCAAAAATAAAGTGAACCTTTTGCTACAACTGTTTGATGAGTTTAGGTAGAGATTATGGGGGAGATTTACTGAACCTGGAGCACTCAGAATCTTGTGCAGCTGTGCATGGTAGCCAATCAGCTTCTAACTTCAGCTTGTTCAATTAAGCTTTTGCAATATTACCTAGAAACTGATTGGTCTCTAGGCAGAGCTGAATCAGATTTTGCACTCTTCAGCTTTAGTAAATAACCCCCTATGAGCCCTGTTAGTGCTCTATTTAAATGAGGGTGGAGAGAGGATCTAACATTTTGTCTGTGTGATATCTACCTACCTGAGATATGAAATAGAAGTCATAGTTGTGATATTTATGTTAAGTGTCTAATCTATTTAGGAAAATATATTTATTGTTTTATGGAATATAAAATGAATATACATAAGGAGTACACTGATTGAATCGAAAACTTCAACAGTGCAATGTGTATGACAAGTGTTCCTAAATGATGTCGGCAGATTCTTTTTTCACTGTGTGTAAGGCTACATGCACATGGGCACAATTGTCCATGCCTTGTAAAGATACTGCTTATCTCTGGTGTCCCAGATATCCTAGAGCTGCTGTCCATAGAAATGAATAGGTGAAGGCAGCTGTAAGCAGCTATTTGTGTAAAATAGTGCATGTTCACAGACATAATGCATAAAATGCACCTTAGGTACATTTGGAGTAGTACTTCTGTGCATGTGCATTACTTTGTGCAAATAGCAGTGCACAGCTGTGTGCAGTGCATTCACTTATTCATGTCTGTGGGCAGTTGTATGCAGGGCTGCTGTTAGAAACCACAGGGCCCCATGCAGCAAACCTGACAGCTCCCCCCCCCCCAAAACAAGCCACAGTTTACTATGCTTCAGTTTTGAATGAACACAGTGAGTAATTGATACCGATTACTTATTGTGTTCATCAATCTGAAGGATCCTATTGTGTGATTGCAGTTACCTGTGGGAGAGAGAGGAGGGAACCCAGGAGCACTGGGGGTGGTGGGAACACACAGAGGGGCTTGGGCCACATGGGGAACTGTATGGTGTACAGGGAAGGTGATGGGTGCAGCAGGGGGTCAATTACTGAAATAGATCCCTTGTATGATTCTTTCTGCAGCAGATGAACACCAGCAGGAGGGAGAAGAAACCAGACTTCAGCTGCTGAAAAGACAGACGTACAGGGGATCGGTTTCAGTAGTTGCTACCCACTGTGCCGATCACCCTCCCTAAGGTCATCCGATTTACCTGGGCCCCATACAGGAGGACTGGTGGTACCCCCTTATCCAGGGCCCTGGTTGTATGCAGCTGTAGAATATCTGACACACCAGAAATACGTAGTGTCTTTACTATGCACAAGCAGATACACTTATGTGCTTGTAGCCTATAACAAAAAGAAGCATTGTAAGCTTATTGCATGTTTAGAGCAGATTTCATGTGTGTGGCCCATTACAATGTATTAAGGAATCACTGTAATGTTTTGTTAGGTAAAAGATGAGGCACTTCTAGAGGAAGAAGATGAAACGTCTCCTATCCCATCACAAGCTGAGGATGATGAACTGTGTAAGTAAAAATAAGTGAGCGAATAAATTTTCCATATATAAAGGAGTTTTCTCCTCAAACTCAACTATTGAATTATTCAACTATTGAGATGATTGTCACCTGTTCCACCTGTTTGTTTGCTGGCGACAATTTGATGTTTTTAAAGAACCCGCCGTCAAAATTGATTTTGCCTCCAGACTATCCCAATCCTTATTCCTCCTACCTGAGTTTAGCAGCATTGACTGTACCTGTCAGTTCCTCCTCTTGCCATTCTTATTCATGGCCCCACTGGCTGATCACGCTGCCTGAGGGCGTTTAGGTTGTCCTCCCTGGTCTATGGGTGGCCTAAGTAAAAGACATTTAACCCTCTCCCTGGTAGGGGTGCACTGTCAGATAGGTACATAGGAGAGTAGTCAACTGATTCAAATCTACTACAGTCCTGGAGTACTCATGATTAGTTTTCTTCCTTCTGTTAAAAAGAAAAGCAAGATAACGCAAACACCAAAACCTATGGCACTTACTCACTGTATAGGCCTCATGCACATTGGACATTTTTACAGCTGCTGTTTTTGGCTTTTGGCATTTTTTTCTATAGCCAGTAAACTCCCCAGCATGTTATCCTATGTGTCCATGCACACATAGGCTTTAATCAGAGTTTTTTGCCTAGAAAAAACCCCAGAACTAGTGGATTTCTAGAGGAGTTTTTTAGCTGTAAAACTGCTCTAATGCTGGTAATTGCGGTAAAACGCCACAAACCAGTGTTTGTGAGCTTTTTTTTTAGCCAAAATGTTTTTTTTTTTGTAAAAACACAAAACGCAAAAAAATGTGGCTGAATGCTAATGCAAAAACCCTAAAAAAATGCTGAAAAACGTGCGTTTTTAACGTGACTTATACAACTAACGCTACCGGCGTTTTTAAAATGCCCAGTGTGCATGAGGACATACTGTTTGAGCACTATAAACCTTAAGCTGAAATCTTTTGGTAATACAAATGTCAGCAAGTCCGTTGCATTTCTCACACAGAAATGATGCAATATACACTTTTTCAACATTTTCATTTTACATTTTATTATACTGTTGTAGTTCCATCAGGGAAGTCTTACACAGTGGCTATTATTAAACCTGATGCTGTCGCTCACGGAAAGACAGATGAAATAATAATGAAGGTAAGAAATGTATATCTATTAATGATCTTTTTAAAGCTCTTTGCTGAGTATGTTAGAAATGGGAATAAAACATTCTATAAAAGTATCATGTTTATCTCAGATACAGGAGGCTGGGTTTGAGATTTTGGCCAATGAAGAGAAGACTATGACCGAGTTGGAAGCCAGAGATTTCTATCAACACAGAGCAGGAGAGGTATATACTGACTCTATGGTGCAAAAATCCGTTAAATACAAGCAGATGAAGAGAGTGACACTTCAAGTATTCATAGTTGAAAAAAAATAAGACATTGTACAAAAAAATATAAAATGACTTACCTTGGATCCTGACATACCATCGCTTTCTGAAGCACTAGTGACTTCACTTTGCATCACTGCTGCCTCCAAGAAAAGCTGGTACTACAAATGCACTAGCAGAAGCCTGAAGGTTTTGTGCCAGTTTTGACTGGTATTTGGAACTGTTCATAATTCCCTCTACATTGACTAAGGCCCCAGTTCCAGCTGAAGAAAAACAGCCCCAAAGCATGATGCCGCCACCACCATGCTTCATTGTGGGTATGGTGTTCTTTTGGTGATGTGCAGTGTTGTTTTTGTGGCAAACATATCTTTTGGAATCATGGCCAGAAAGTTCAGCCTAACACATTTTCCCACATGCTTTTGGGAGACTTTTTGCGAAATTTAGCCAGGTTTGGATGTTTTTCTTCGTAAGAAAAAGCGTCTGTCTTGCCACTCTACCCCATAGCCCAGATATATGAAGAATACGGGAGATTGTTGTCACACGTACCACGCAGCCAGTACTTGCCATATATTCTTGCAGTTCCTTTAGTGTTGCTGTAGGCCTCTTGCCAGCCTCCCAGACCAATTTTCTTGTCATCTTTTCATCAGTTTTGGAGGGACATCCAGTTCTTGGTAATGTGCAAAATATAATGTGAATTGGTGCAGCGCTACCCCAACACTACACTACTCCCTCACTGTCTTATCCCAAAAATGGATGAAATAAACCAATAAATGATGTACAATAAATACGTAAAATAGAATAGAATGCACATAAAAACAGTTTGAATAATACAAAATGATGCAAACAAAACTTATAAGTGACTAATGGATGCCACCGATGCAGTTCAGTGAATAGAACAAACCATTCTATTACAGTTCATAAAGTGAGCTGATCCGCTAAGTGATCCATAATGGAACAAAAATTGAATAGATAATGTGTAGATAAAGAAACACCAGTGAAAGAAAAAGTCCTGATGGGACTCCAATATTTATGAACTATAATACATAAAAGGTGAATCTCTAAATGTAGGATCAGTACTCACACTCACACAGTGAATATAAGACCAAATAAAATAATTAAATAAAATAAAACATAAATATGTGGTATCACAACAAAACGTGATATTCAAAAACCACTGTTCCAGTGTCACATAAAAATTGTCCAGAAAAATAAAGTTCAATGGTGCGTAGAAAACCACCAAATAATACAACGACTCAGAAGGTGCAGGTGATATAGTTATATTCGCATAACAACCAGAAGGAAATAATCCATAAACGGCTGAATTGCCCCCTCACTTCCTTGAAGCGACCCAAAGGGCCAAAACGCCTGTTAGAAAACAAGAATGACCATCTACAGCCTGGTCCACCCTTCTCGGGTAGTGTCGGTCTGCAACAGTGGTATCCCCTTCACAGGTTAGTAAAAGAAGCGGCAGGATCCCCCTCAAGGATGTTATGGTATAATACAGCCAGCTCATATCAAAAGGTCTCCTTGCTGCAGTGCTGTTCCTGATCCCTTCACATGTGTGTTTGTCTGTGCTCACCTATCCAGTTCTTGGTAATGTCACTGTTGCACCATATTTTCTCCACATGATGATGACTGTCTTCACTGTGTTCCATGGTATATCTAATGCTTTGGAAATTATTTTGTACACTTCTTATGACTGATACCTTTTAACAATGAGATCCCTCTGATGCTTTGGAAGCTCTCTGTGGACCATGGCTTTTGCTGTAGGATACAACTAAGAAAATGTCAAGAAAAACCTACTAGAACAGCTGAACTTTATTTGGGGTTAATCAGAGGCACTTTAAATGATGGCAGGTGGGTGACTCCTATTTAACATGATTTTGAATGTGACTGCTTAATTCTGAACACAGCTACATCCCCAGTTATAAGAGGGTGTGCACACTTATGCAACCACATTATTTTATTTTTTCTGTTTACTTCCCCCCCCCCCTAAAAGATTTCAGTTCGTTTTTCAGTTGAGTTGTACAGTTTATATTTCACATTAAAGGTGGAAAAAGTTCTGAAATAGTTCTGAAATTATTTATCTTTGTCTCATTTTTTTACATCACAGAAACCTGACATTTTAACGGTGTATAGACTTTTTATATCCACTGTACACTATAAAAAGAAGTTTTACTGGATGCACTAATATGTATGAAATGCCTTCAAAGTGTTAACAATGGTATACATCCATTATTACAGCATATTAATGATGAATCACTGCTGTATTTTTGAACAGGAGAAATTTAAAGAGCTGATACAGTTCATGTCCAGTGGCCCATGTCATGTTCTTATCATATCTAAATCTGGAGAAGAGGATGTGATCCCTGCATGGAGAGAGTTTATTGGCCCAACTGATGTAGAAATCGCTAAGAAAGAAAAGCCTGAAAGGTGTGAATAGAAGCAGTTGTCTTGGGCTTGTAATAGCCATGCTATAAAGTTGTGCAGTAGTAGTACATTTCATATGGATCTTAGTTTTTATTTTTTAACTTTGTCATAATCAAATTATCCTTTGGGCAATTTTGATCCATTCTGGTGCATTGTGATAACGTGTGTTAAGGCAATGACCGATTGAACACGCGTTAGCATGTGATCTCATTAATTTTAAATGGTTCTCCTAGCTTAGCTTCATTTAGGCTTGGTTCACACCAATACAGTGTGCATTGTGTCCATTTTGCAGTGTGCTTTGCGTTTTTGCCGCATTTTTACCTTGTTTTGCATTTTTTTCAGCTTTTTTTTGTTTGTTTTTTGTTAAAGGGAAAATTTTTTTTGTTGCTGGACAGAATAGAAACGCAACCCCTGCATTTCAGCAGCTATTCTATTGAACTCTATTGTAGTCAAAATTCTGCTTTTTGTGTTTGAAAAAGTCCCTGACCCTTTCCAAAAATGTAACAGTTCACAAAAGCATAGATGTTAATGTTTCCCATAGGAAACCATGTTATATGGACTGTAGTGCGTTTCTGCAGAAAGCAAAAAAGCACTAAAAAACTCTTGGATGTGAACCAGGACTTAGAAAATTACCAGCTCTTCTCACAGCTCCCTAGGTGCTGAGCACATAATCCAAGAAAAACACACAACAAAATGCACATAAAATCATGAAAATGGGCCTTAAAAAATGGATGGAAAAATGGATGACAACGAATCCTTATTGGTAGTGGCATGAAGCCAAACCTAGGGATGAAATCCACTTTTACAATAAGCTGTGTTACCACCATGCACATTATATGTGTTAGCACATAGTGGTGATATTCATTTTGAATGGCACCTCAATGTACTACGGCAATGTAGAGCTTGACACACATGCAATGCAGAGCACCACAATTCATGGTAATGCATTAACATATGTTGTGTGTTGAGTCTGAGAAAATGCTTCATGTATGCTTCATCATCTATTCCTATAAATTGGAAGCCCATTTAAAATCAGTAGACTGCCTTAACGGAACACATGTTAATGCTTGACATAACTCATGTTAACGTGCATGCGTTAATGCAATGAGAATGTAAAAGTGTGTATGGGCACTTAAAGTGTTTCTAAAGGCATTTTTATAATATAAGAATAACATAAGAATGTTACATTCACCAGCTCTGTGCTATGGAATTGCATAGACTGCCCCCCCCCCATCCTCTTCTCCACTCTTTCTCTCTCTCTGTGTCTGCCCACATTGTAAGTCACTTCTTTATGGGGGCAGACGTGTCGGCTCACTCCCAAGCCAGGCTGTGTGAGTCTATAGACATACATATAGACAGTGAAGCTGCCCCCCACGCTCTCTGCTCACAGGATTTGACTGATAGCTGCAGGAGCCACAGTTGTATCACAAAGTTTTATTTGGTGGGGGATGCCAGACATTTATCTAATGGCATTCAAACTCAACAACAAACTGGAAAGGTTTGTGTCCAGGGCCAAGTATCTTCGGTCCTTCAGTGTAGATATGCCCTAGTTACTCCATGGAATGAGTTCAACCCTATTTATGTTCTCCCACTTCTGAGGCTCCTGCCTCGTCTACTTCGAAGTGTAGAGCGAGAAGGTATTCTGATGATTTTCATTGCACTGAACAGGCCCAGGAGGGTGTGGTACTCCAAAGTAGTCAGACTCGTATCAGACTCTTCATGGGCCCAACTGAACTATCCAGACCATTTCTCTCTCAAGCTCCTGTGTTCCATTGCTGTTTCATGGTCATTGGTGTTGACAGCTTGGCAGTTGAAGCCCAAGCTCGCAGGGGCAGTGGTCTTGTGGACTCTGTGATTCCCACAAAAAGGGAAAGCTTTATTCCAGGAAATACCCAGTGTCATGGGTTTATCCTTCCTTCAGTCAGAGCTAGACATGTCCTTAGCTTCCTGATAACTCACTATGGTGTTGTCAGTCCTTGAGAGGCCACTCTTTGAACCTATTTGGGATATTTCTCTTCCTCTCCTATTACGCAAAGCTGCCTTTCTTGTCCAGCCATACTCAACCACACTCAATCACTTTATTTTATTGTACTTTACAAGGACAATGTTTTTAGCCCACAAAACTTTCTGCCTAAGCTGGTCTTGCCCTGCTTTTGTCTGGCTCCTTGACATCCTAGGTTGATTGCTCTCCACTGTCTGGTTGTGAATAGGACTGTGCTAGTCTACCTCATAGCCAATAATAATAATCTGATGCCTTGTTCTTGTTGCCTGAAGGCTCTCGGAAGGGATAGGCTGCTTCTAGATCCACAATTTCTAGGTGGATTCAACAAATCATCACTTAGATGTGGAACATGAAAGGTAGGGTCCCCCCTTTTTTGTGAAGGCTCACTCCAACAAGTGTTGGTGCTTTGTTGCTTTTCAGCATCAGGCCTTGATTCCCAGGTCTGTAAGGTTTCCACCTGGTCTTCTGTTTTACCAGGTGGTTGTTCATTTCAGGCGTTAGCAGACACCAGTCTTCGCAGTTATTATTCTTCTTGTTTTGTTAAGAGGATTGTTCCTATTG